AACATTGTGTTGTAAATACCTTATTAGATATTAAACATTTTCCAGTGGATTGCATTTCCCAGAACCTGTAGATTTGAGTTGTTGTTGGAAGGCTCGGCTAAACAAGTTAGTGACTGCAGGGGGCGTAGGAAGCAGTGTTTTATAAAGGAGGATAATATTTTCGAAACTAGAAGTATTTGAAATTGTATATATATATATATATACATATATATATATATATATATATATATATATATATATATATATATATATATATATATATATATATATATATATATATATATATATATATATATATATATTGTTAATGGATGTCTATTAGCGATAATGCAAAGCTCACTTCCCTTGTTTCTATTTACTTTAGCGTGGTTCTACTTTCGTAATTTATCTAATTTAGTTTGTTGCATGTTAAATCCTGATGAGAATACCGTGTATAAATAAAGTTTTAATAATAATAATTGTGGTCGTTTGAGCACTCTGGCTCCATTACGCTCTGCGCATGTCTGGACGCGTTGAGTCACCGTGTTGTACCACATGCCTTGGTGAGAGCAAGTTCATGGGGGTATAAATACGAGTGTCGCACGTATCTAGACGTGTACCAAGCTGCACTGACGAAGCGTTGAACGCCGAAACATGCTTGTCTGCAGATTGTACTATTACGCTCCTTCACTTCGGTGTTGTTGAGCACTCTGCGGAGCTGTTAATGGATGTCTATTAGCGATAATGCAAAGCTCACTTCTCTTCACTGATTTGGACTGGATCGCTCGAAACTCTGAAAGCGTTTGTCCTCACAGAGATTGACGAAGAAACTGCCGAAACAACTACATGGCGCTCGCCCAGTGGCTGTAAATGGCTATTTGACAGCAAGTTGTTATCAGTTACTTGGCTAACAAAAAGCCAGAATATTTATTTCGACGGTCAGAAGGGCAGTGACTTGATGGAACGAATACATTGATTTTTAAAGCAAGACCCGGACAATGCTTCAGAAATCGCTAATCCTGCTGAACTTGATCTAGAACGGTCGATTGAAAGTTTGCTAGCTGACGATTCTGACGATGTCACAGATGATACGTTTGAAGAATCGTTCAGTGATCAATGTGATATTGCAAAGGAATTGAAAAACAAAGAGGAAAAACAAGCCAGTATAGATTCCGAAACCAGTACAAAGCACGATGAAACGAACACGAAGTCAAAAAATTTGCATGAAGAGTCCATCGGTCTATATACGGTGACAAAGTCTGGCAATCTGCAAACAAAGTCAACAAATAGGCATAATCCCTTGGGAAGTAGTGCCAGCTGTAATCGCGACTCCGCCGAGATTAGTCGACTGAATTCGAAACTGGACAGATTTTCTGAAAACGTGACAAACAAATTACAAAATCTCAGCGTCGAGATAAACAACATTAAAGAGAACAAACCCTACTCTATTTTGGTTTTAGAAAACGTAGTCAATGATCTAAAGGAAGATAAGCTTGTGCTAATTAGAAAGAACGACGAACTCAGGGAACAAAACATGGATATGTCTCATATTATATCTGATTTGAAAATGGCAAACAAGAATCTGGAAAGCGAAAAGAGCAGCCTGTTGACAGCTCTTAAATTAATACAAAATGACCACCAACAAAGGTGCACGAAAACAATTGTGGAAAATGACGGCGAGAATAATGTGGAATTGGTTTGCGAAACAATAGAGGGAAGTGAAGTCATTCAATCAAAACCTTCATCTAATCAGCCCGCAAACGATAAGCATCTTAACACCGAAGCTAGTACTGGGAAAAATCGTAAAAAGAAGGGAAAGAAATCTAAGTCCTAACCTCCAACACAAAATTCCAGCCAACAAACTGCGGATGTAGATACTTCTGGTGGTATTGTGAACACCTCTAGTTCTAAATCAACGGGGCAAGGCAAGAAAACAGTTGTTATTGCAGGGGACTCAATTGTTAAAAATACTATTGGTCCGAAAATGAGTGCTGACGATTCTAATCACCATTTTATTGTAAAGCCGTTCCCTGGTGCAACAGTCTCAGATATGGAGGATTTTGTCAAGCCATTGACAAGAAGGACACCGGACAAGATGATCTTACACGTCGGAACAAAGGACCTGAGAAGTCAATAGTAGCAGACTCCATTGTCAACATTGTAACACAAATAAAAGAAGATTCACCAGGTACAGCCGTTGGCATTTCAGCTATTCTGGTAAGAAATGACAATAATGACCTACACTGCAAAAAATCAATTTCTTGTTTTAAGAAAATATTACTTATTTTAAGCACAAAAATTACTTGTTTTAAGAAAATTTTACTTGTCCCGTGGGTAAGTAAAATATTCTAGGTAAGAATCAGA